CAGGGAAGGGATGCCATCCAGAGGGACCTTGGCAGGCTGGAGAGGTGGGCCAATGCCAACCTCATGACATTCAACAAGGCCAAGTGCAAGGTCCTGCACCTGGGTCAGCACAACCCCAGGCACAAATACAGGCTGGGGAGAGAATGGCTGGAGAGCAGTCCTGAGGAGAAGGACTCAGGGGTGGTAGTAGATGAGAAGCTCGACATGAGCCACCAGTGTGAGCTGGAGCCCAGAGAGCAACTGCATCCTGGGCTGCATCAAAAGTAGTGTGGCCAGTAGGGCCAGGGAGGTGATTCTGCCTCTTTACTCTGCTTTGCTCAGACCCCACCTGGAGTGCTGTGCACAGTTCTGGTGCCCTCAGCACAAGAAAGATATAGACCTGTTGGAGAGGGTCCAGAGAAGGGCCACCAAGATGATCAGAGGGCTGGCGCACCTCTGCTATGAAGACAGGCTGAGAGAGTTGGGGCTGTTCAGCCTGGAGAAGAGAAGGCTCCAGGGAGACCTTACAGCAGCCAATACTTGAAAGGGGCTATAGGAAAGCTGGGGAGGGGCTTTTCATCAGAGGAGATAGTGATAGGACAAGGGGTAATGGTTTTAAATTGAGAGAGGGGACATTTAGGTTAGATATTCTTCATTCTAAGGGTGGTGAGGAACTGGAATGGGTTGCCCAGGGAGGTTGTTGATGCCCCATCCCTGGAGGTTTTTAAGGCCAGGTTGGACGAGGTTTTGTGCAAGCTGGTCTAGTGGTAGGGTTCCCTGCTCATGGCAGGGGGGTTGGAGCTTGATGGTCTTTAAGGTCCCTTCCAACCTTAATGATTCTGTGATTCTATAGTCTTCCTCAGGCCAGTAAGAATGATTAAGAAGCTGAAAAACAGGCCTAATGGAAGATTAAAGAAAACATTATTAATTTTTATTAGTCTTTATAAAAGTATATAAGAGTATACAAGTGCTTTGATAGGCAGAAATGCTATCATAGTAGGGTCTTCAACTTAGCAGTCAATAGTCTAACAAGACCTGGTGGCTGGAAATTTGAGCTGGGTGCAGTCAGACTAGGAATCTTAAAACATTAAAATGTTCCAGGCCGTTGATCTCTCTGTCTCAAAAAAAAAAAAAAAAAAAAAAAAATTAAAAAAAAAGAACCAACCAAGCAACCCTTATCAGACCATCTTCTGCACAATTACAGTAAATTTCACCAGTGCCTGTTACTTAAGATTGCCTTAAGCACTTTAACCACATTCTGTTAATTTGATGGTGATTGTAAGCAGGATTTGAAAGTGGAAGCGGCATCTCCCAAGCATATCTCCCCATCTGACTGAAAGTCAACAGTTGAAACTCCTTTATGAGTTGGTACCAGGGAATGCAGGCAGGGAGGCTGGGGTGAACATGCATTTAGCAGCTAATGATGAAGCTGTGGGTTATATTGGACCATCCTGTCTGGAGCTGCACTCAGAGTGTACTTGTACCTGACACCCCTCATAGGGCAACAAAGAGTGTAAGATGCTGGGGGAAATGTCTGTTTTCCCTTCTAGTCTAATCTATCTGGTCTCAGTTAGTCTTCCAGACCTGTTAATTTATCTTGTACTATCTGTTTTATTTTGAGTAGGCATTTTAAATGGGGAATTGTCACTTTCACACCTTACTCATCCATTGCCTTCTAGGCTGATGTGACTATGGAAATATCATGCATACGTGTAGCATTTTTGATGCCTTTTCGTAGCAGCTCTGGTCCTGCAACAAGTGAAGAGAAACCCAAGTTCCTGGACTTCAGTTTGGCAAATGAGAGCCAATTAGGCTGTGAAGGGAGTAAAAACTATTGCCCCACAACAGTTGCACCCAGAGGCTTGTAAGCATCTTTGCAGATTTATTCTGCTAGACTTTCTGGATGTGCTAAAATCCCCAAGAGGGTCCAGGGAAAGTGGGACATAAACTTTGACTTTTGGACAGTGGATGAGCTTTGACAGCAGACTAGCTTAGCTGTAAGATAGTGATCTTGGAGGCTGCAGACAGCCTTGTTCTGTGAAGTGACTGGAACATTAAAAGCCAAATCCAGATCAATGGTAATTAAAAGAGGGTATTAACCAAGACATCAAAGATGAGATATCACTAAGGATAAGGCTGTTTAATTGGCAGGTTCATTTCCTAAATAGTTGATGTGGGGGATCTACGTGGTTCACTGATGCCTATTGTTAAGACAGAAGAATAATTTGAAAATTGGGTAAGGTGCAGAGAGATTGATAGCAGCATGACTGTGTTCAGGCAGCTGGGCGGGATGGGATGAGTATAGGCTAGTTAATCTTGAACCTGTATCACAGAAACTAGGAGAAAAATTGTCATGGAGTTCAAGTGGTAGAAAAGATCAGACATAATGACTGCTAGCATGCGTGGCTTTATGTAAAGGTTTCCTGGTCAAACCAACCTAATTTTGTTTATTTTAGAGACTGTGAGTTTGAGAAACTAACAGCATGTTTGCAGCCTGCTTAGCATTTTATATTGCACATAATTTAGAACCTCCTGACAGTCTGATTTATGTCTAAAAAAAAACCCAAATAGCAAGCACAGAAAAAGATTAAAAGCTTGCTGACAGTTATCAGAAAGTAATTATCAGTCAGAAGCCACTAAGGCTGTAGTTTGAAGGGCTTCCTCCAGGATTAGCAAGAGGAACAGTAGTAAATGAGAATCACTGCTTATAAAGTGTGTTGTGATTGACATAAATGCTGGTCAGACAGTGAGTAACTATGACAGGACTGTCAGTTGTGTGACTGATATCACTTAATTCATAGAATCTGTTTAAAGGCTGCATTTTAACCAAGCCGAAGTCTATTATATACCTCGGAACAGGGAATGCAGAACACACAGGAAAAATGTGAGGCTTAGAAAAGACTCAAAATACATGTATTAGTGATGTAATTGCCAGTCAGTTCCGTCAACCCCCAGAGCTCGATTTTTAGACACAGATAGATCTTCACCCAGTTTGAGCCATCTAAGCACGAAGCACAGCCATGAGGGACAGATACCCCCACAAAGAACCAAACCAAAACCCAAAGCACAATAAACCCACCAGCACAGGGCAGATAATTGAATCCTAAAAGAGATGGTACCAGTTTTTTTCTGAAAGTTCCCCTCCCTCAGCTGAATTCTGCAGAATAACCTTGAAATGGTTCAGGTGAGGTGAGAGAAATTCTAGCTACTGTACCTGTTATTTTACCTCCATATATGGTTTTGTAAGACCAGTACAATAAGATTGCATCTATTTTCTGATCTCCATATTCTTAAAACATCATTGTAAGATTGAACAAGGTGCAAGTAAGAGTCCCAAAACTAATTTAAATGTGGCGTAACTATCTGCTGGTGAGATGATTGAGTTTGAATTATTTTTTTTATTGAAAAGATGATTGAGAAGTGACTTGATTACAATGTATAAGTACTTTCAAAGGGAGAAAATACCAGGTATTAGAAGGCTCTTCAGCATAGTATAGAAAATCATAAGCACTAACTGCCAGAAGCTGAAGGCAAATTCATACTGGAAAGTAAGCAGCAATATTTGTACTGCATTAGCCACAAATAAGTTACTAAGTTCTGTGCAGAAGAAGGGACAAAATTCATCATTATGCAGGAGGTCAGGCAAATTTGCCATGTTGTCTCTCTTGACCGTAAACCTTAGGAATCTGTAAAACCAGAAGTGTTTAAATACAAATTGTCTTTGTTTCATTCAAAACTTCCTGGAAAAGTATGGAATTCATATTCCTTTCAAAGATCTAGTTTGAATCAAACCCTGACTTTTTGGTTTAAATAATTTTAAAATACATGGTGTTGAAGTAATTGCTCTCTGCATTATTCAGGAAGAGCAGACTTAGATTTCCATCTTTAACAATATTTCAGTCTGTAAGGCAATGGAAAAATTAGAGGCATCTTAGTGTGCTTTGTGTTACTTGGCATCTATACTTCTAAGCATTTGCTGTCTTCTGAAACATTGCCAGCTGAAGGTGATGGTGACAGTGGAGGCACCCTACACCAGTAGCAAGAAGAGGCTCTCTGTTGAAAGGACATTTTAAATAGTGAGAGCTAATCAAACCAATTACAGGTCATCCTTGTTACGCAAGGCTGTGCCAGAGCTGTTTGGTTTATATATATTGCACTAGCTATGCCAAAAAGTGGTGGATAAATTGTCACACGCACGCACCCCACACACACTGTGCACTAGAAGCAGGTGTTTGCCCACCATCACTTCTCTGTTTCTTTTCTACATCAAGTTGCTTTTAATTTTTAGGCCTTTCCACCTTTACAGAGTAGGCTGTTACTATTACACTGCTCTGTTAGTCATTGTTGCTTTAGGCAAAAAGATGTCCACATTGGATTACAAAGTGACTGTGTTACAGAATGTACAGAGAGCAGTATTAACTAAAACTCACTAGGTGATATCCTAGACTGTAACTGCAAATTTTTATTTCTTTTCTCCAAGTGTTAGCATATGTAGTATTACTACTTTATTGCATTATGTTCTTAATTGAACAATTTTTTATTGTAATAAGATGAAATTAGGTTACTCTTTTTTTGAGGGTAGAAAAAAAAAATTAGCTCTCATTTTATTTTCTACTAATTTTGGATACTTTGATGATCAGGTTCTCTTTGTAGATTATTTTTTATGGCCACTGACAATAATCAATGCACATTTCCAGAAAACAGTTCTTAGATAAGCTGAGTGCGACTACGGTGATAGCCAATTTTCTCTCTTATTTAACATTTGACCTTTGTGATTAATTCTTAATATTTTGATCATCTGATGGCAAAAAAAGGATATCTAGGGGATACCAGCTGTGCAAGCATGTTTGTCCTGCTTCTTTCTTCAGTGTCTAAAAAGCAAAGAGTTTAGAACTTTATTTGAGAACTTATAATTGCATTATATTTATTAAATTCTTAATTAGTGAAAAATAATTAAAATGTTGACCGTGTTGGTGAATCTTACTTAAATGTTTGGTTTTGCTTTGCTTTTATCCTTCTAGATAAACTTGCCTTGGAAGGAATAATTGTACAACGTGCTGAATGCAGACCTGCAGCTACTGAAAATTACATGAAACTGAAAAGGTAGGAGTGTTCTATTATTAACAAATACGTGATATCTTATTGTAATGTTTGTATTATTGCCTTACTAGGTATGGATGACTTCAGTATTATCATGGTATTACATAGGATTTATATGGATCAGAACTGTTCTTGTCTTTGGGGTGGATTTACTGTGTAGGGAAGAAATGAAGCCCAGTGTGGGGCTTTTCCCCCCTCTGTTATTGTCTGGTGGGATGATGTAGACTTCTGTGTTCCATCATGTGCAGAACTCTTACTAAAGCACACGTTTTGCCTCTTCACACCTGAATGAATGTGAATGTATGGCTGTATTTAAATGTGATTGAAGCTGAGTTTCTTGAGTACTTAGAAGTTTGCATGGGTCTGGTCAGGACGAGCTTCTTGCATGTGGCTTTCTGTCTGGATCGTCCAGATTTAATTCCACTTAATACTGTGCCATGCCAGACAAAGATCACCTCTGAAAAGATACTTAAAATGCCCCAATTAGGAAGGAGTTCAGAAAGAAGTCCTACACCTAAACTGGCATGCTTGCTAGAAAAGAAAAGTTGATGACTGAAAAGGTCAGAAGTGGCATGGCAACTACAAGACATACATTTAAAAAAATAATTCAATGACTTTTGAAAATTTAATCTGATACATCTAGAATTTACCATGTGATTCATGAATCATATGGATAATTAACTCAATGACATTCTGTAGTAATAAATCAGATTTTGGATTGAATTGTGCATTATATAAAATACATACTTATGCATTTTAATAATTTGGGTTTTAATTAAATCACCCTTTTATATTGTGCGTTTGTTATAAATAGAGAAATACAAAGCAGAAAATTTCAGGACCAGAATTATCTGTGACTAGTTTTAGAGTCATCGAAAGAAATGCAGAAAGGGCAAAGTCATGTTTTTCCCCCGGTTCCTGATCTATTTCCTCTATATCATATGCAACTTCTACAGTATCTTTAGGTTTTATTAACCTCCTCTGTCATCTGAACTGCTCCAGTATTTCCTTATTGTGTTAGCTCAATTCTGAGAGTTTATGTTCTAGCTTTTGGCAAGTCAATACCATAGGTTTGCTCATGTACAGTGAACTACTTCATTTCAGACCGTGTTCTGTGGTTGCTATAATGATTTTTATCATTAGTATGAAATGGAGTATGAAGCAAATGTAGTGTTACTAGAAAAGGGCTCATTTCAATCTGGCAATTTTGAATATATATACAGCTATAATCTGTGGAATATAATTGCTCATCTAAGTGCTTATTTTGCATTTTGTGGACAGTCTTCTAGTAGTTGGTCAGAAAAGGTAAGGTTCGTCTGGTAAAGCCACAGCAGGAGACCAAAATGAAAGTGATGATGGCTTTAATGACATACTACCCAAACTTTGAATTTTTCAGCATTCTTCTTTGTGTCACACACACACGTATGCAGCCCCTCCTGAACTTTGATTTTGTCATGTTTAACTCCTCCAGGAGCAACAATGATATAAACAGATTTAGTGTTTGAAAGCACTGGCAGCTGAAAACTGATGGTACGCTATTTTTTTTCTTTCCTGTAGAAAAACTGTCAAGCTGTTTATGCCTAGTTTCTGACTCTCCATGTTGTTAAAGATTTTTTGCCTTTTACCAAAAAAGTTTATTAAAAAATATCTTATCTGGTGGGAATCAGCATGAGATTTAGCAGATCCTGGCAATCACAGTCTCAGAAGAAATTGGTTTATGTCCAAATACCATCTCTGTTTTTGAGTAGTAGGCTCTAATTTTTCACTCCCTTTATTCTCTCCCACCCTCAACATTCTGCAGTCTGTGCTTTTGAAAAGTGACAGCATTGAAGATAAAAGACATAAGTTACAGAGCTATGTTATATTAAGCCATTTTTATTCACTTTTAAATTTTTTATTGTGGTTTACATGAGAGAGACTCTCCAAAGGTGGAATTGATAATACTGATAAAACGGCAAGTCTGTTGTGTAGGCTTTAAGTGCTACAATAGTAAATTGAGTTGGGTAGGAAATAAAATTAGAAGATAAATGCAGTTGCTTCAAACTTTGAAGATGTAGCAAATTAAGTTAAGCTGCACACTCCGGTAACTGTGATAATTTGTTTTCTGAGAGCTGGCTGTGACCAAAAGGGCTTATATGCCTCCCTGGTATTAAATGGAGATACGGATTCCCTCTATTTTAGCCTCCTGTCTGGGTCAAGGAAATTGGCTGCTGGGTGCATGGTGTGGCATTTGATTTCCATGCTGCTCTGTAGAGTTTCAGTGAGAGGACAAGAAGATGGTCTTGTGATGGGGCTGCCAGCAGTTAGGTGGGAGATGTGTGTGATATGTGGGTTTAAGGATGGGCAACGAAAACACAGAATTTGGTGAGACACATGGGTGAAAGTGTTGTCAAACAGCATATAGAAGGAAGGCTTTTTTCCCAAGGTTTGATTTGGTTACAGGAAGAATGTAGATGGCTGATATTCAGAACACTTTGAATACGAGGTACAAATGGACATCTAGGAATAACTAGTCAGAAGGATAAAACGGAAGCTATGTAACCTTCATTCGGTATTTTCGATTTTGGAAGTTTTGTTGTTGGCAGAGGAATAACGTTGGTCCACTATTAAACAGGAGAGATGAACTAGTCACCAGCAATGCTGAAAAGGCAGAGTCCTCAACACCTTCATCACCTCCATCTTTACCAGCACTATTAGGTCCCAGGCCACAGGGACAAAAATCCAGGTTGATGCAGAATCTGACCCACTGTCATTGAAGAAGAGGTGGTGTGTCAGCTATTACAGAAACTTGACCCGTACAAATTGATGGGTCTAGATGGCACCCACTCTAGGGTGCTGTTAGAGCTGCTGATGTCATTGCAAAGCTGATCTCCATAATCTTTGAGAAGTTGTGGAGACCGGAAGATGTGCCTGAGGACTGGAGGAAGGCTAATGTCACCCCCATATATGAGAAGGGTCCAAAGGAGGATGCAGGTAATTATAGACCCATTAGCTTCACTTCAGTCCCTGGAAAGCTCATAGAGCAAATCCTTCTGGGGACTGTCACAAGTCAATTGAAACACGTGATTGGAAAAGCCAACATGGACTTACCAGGGGCAAATCGTGCTTGATAAACCTGATCACCTTCTACGACAAAGTGGCCCACTTGGTTGATGCAGGGGAAATGGTGGGCATTGTCTATCTGGACTTCTCCAAGGCTTTTGACACAGTACCCCACAGGACTTCTCCAAGGCTTTTGACACAGTACCCCACAGCCTCCTCCTGGAGAAACTGACTTGTTGTGGCCTTGACAAGTGGTCTGTGTGGTGGGTGGGGAACTGGCTGACAGACCATATCCAGAGGGTGACAGTAAATAGTTGCTCCTCAAACTGACAACCAGCCACAAGTGGGGTCCCCCAGGGATTGATACTGGGCCCAAGGTTCTTTAACATCTTCATAAGAGACCTGGATGTTGGGATCAAGAGCACTCTGATGAAGTTTGCTGATGACACCAAGGCGAGTGGAGAGGTTGACACTCCAGAAGGAAGAGCCGCCCTCCAGGATGACCTGCACAGACAGACTGGAGGAGTCACATGGAAATGACAGGGGGTAATGGGCACAAGTTGCTCCTGGGGAGATTCTGATTGGACACAAGAGGCACATTTTTCACCATGAGGACAGTCAAATATTGAAATAGTCTCCCAAGGGAAGTGGTAGATTTCCCCATGTTGACAGTTTTAAGTCTCAGCTTGACAGGGTGCTGAGCCATCTCATATAAACTATAGTAGTACCTAGGTAGGTTGGACCAGATGATCCTTGGGGTCCTTTCCAATTTGGCATTCTGTGGTTCTGTGATTTCCTTTTTTCCATTTTCCTGAATGTCAAGTTTTAGAAGGGAAACAAGTGCAGTGAAGCACCTGCTATCCTGCACTAGTAAAGCTTCATGCTATTGAATTTCCTAGTTGTTTTTTTTTTATTATTAATAATGTATTTGTTCTTTGTAATACCTTAATGATTAGTTATAATTTTTCAGTTACTGCTGGTGATGCTATTGCAGCTAGCTGGAAAATAATATGTGGTTTCCAAGCACCTGTCCTAATTTCTGTCTTGTGGGAGTGGATCTCATGGTCTCCCTTAAACATATTTGGACTTCATGGTGGAACAAATCAGGCAGACTGTTCCCCCTGTGTGGTGGTCACAGATGATACTGCCCCTGTGCTACTCTTTCTGGTTTATACTTCCCTTCGTGCCCCATCCAACCTGTAGAACTTAGGAAGATGGTGGCATGTGAACTGTTGTAGCAGAGGGTGTGCATCACCTTACACACAAGGTGCATTGTTCAGTGCACACCATATTTGCCCTGGTCTTGTGCCCCTGCCATGCATGTCACCTTAGGTAGGAGCCTTTTCCTTCTGCCAGGCTGCCCTGTGCAGGCTCCACATCCATCTCAGCCTGTTCCACTCTGACTAGATTGTTTTCTTCATCTTACTTTCCACCATAAGGAGACATAATCTGTCCTTTAATTTTGTCTTTCTGAGGCTTAAGAGGTGGCTTGTTTTTTTTCCATTACCTTCATTTGATGGTCTCAGGGCTTAATTGCTGTGGGGTTAATGACTCCCCAAAAAGAGAGGTCTTCCATGAATCTAGTCTGTATCGGGAGTGATGGGCCACAGGGAGACAGGAGTCATCAAAGTATTCAGGATCCTCTCAGGCTCAATATGACTTGAAAGGAGAGTAGAATAAGTTTTTTATACTCCTGAGGGGCATTTTCTGTGCACGAAAGAAAGAAAATGGGGGACTGCCATGCACACCATCTCATATTCTCTCTGCCAAGTCACCTGTATCCATACTTGCATTGGTTTTCACATCTGACCACAGTGAAGCTTCTTCCCTAGTTCTAAGTCCCCTTTTCCTATTTCTGTTTATTTGTCTTTCTCCATTGCTTCACAGAAAACATTTTTTTATTTATTTTTTTCCCCAAAAAATATTTATATGCATCTCAAACTACATTCCTTTTTGAGAAG